CTCTCATTTTAATTTGGATTTAGGGGAAAGTTAGAATGGTCTCTCCTGATTGTTAAGAAGAGATGGTTAAAAGATTTGCTCTTTTGAGTCGATGTTATACAAAAAAATTGAATAGTAATAGATGGTTCTTTGATTGTTATAAGAAGTGATAGATAATTAGAATGGCTATGGAACTGATTCATGTGTAGCAAAATAGGAAGAAGATTGTTTTTGTGTGTGTGTCTTGTGTTGATTATGTGCAGAGGAAAAAAAAAACATAATAGATAGGATAGGTTTCTAGATATTTAGCATTTAGCTATGAATGATGATTTGATTCCATTAGCTGAATATATGCGTCTTATATCTCCATTGTTTTTCCACTTTTCTAGCTAATTTGTTTTACTGAAGTTTTCCTTGTATATAATTGCCCATAAATGTATGATTAGTGTTCTAAACCGTAAAACAAAGTTCTCAACTTTCAAAACTCAAAAACAAAAACTTCAAATTTACTATAAAAAGCTTTGAAATTTATTTATTGGGCATCTTTGGGGGCAAAAGCCTCAATCGTGAGTCGTGAAAGAAGAACGAGAAAGAGATTCCTTTTGATTACGCTATGATTCGTTCTTATTGATTGGAAAAACCCTAGATTTAGATAGATCGAATTAGGTTTGACGGCGAATTAGGTTTTTGGGTTTGAGATGTCGAGCTTTGGCGTTGGAGGAAAGGTAGTGGACAAAGTCGATTTATGTAGGAAGAAACAATGGGCATGTCGCTTAGATATTTGGCCATTTGCGATTCTGTATGCTATTTGGCTGACTAAAATCACAGACTTGACTGATGCAACCATGGCGTTTGGTGGTCTTGTTGTTGCTTCTCACATCTTAGTCTTGCTTTTCACTGCGTGGTCTGTGGATTTCAAGTGTTTTGTCCAGTTTAGCAAGGTTACAAGTATCAACCAGGCAGATGCTTGTAAAGTTACTCCAGCCAAGTTCTCTGGTCCTAAACAAGTTGTTCCTCTTCATTCTCGTAGCCAAGAAATCTTCTTTGACTTCAGGAAGCAGCGTTTTGTTTACTCAAAGGAGTTAGATGCCTTTTCCAAGCTTCCTTACCCCACAAAGGAAACATTTGGTCATTATCTAACATGTACTGGTCACGATACAGAAGCTAAAGTTGGAGCTGCCTCTGAGAAGTGGGGAAGAAATGTGTAAGTCTGACTAGTGAATTTTCTATCACAAATTCAATGTGATTGAAAATTTCTTTTTTCGATTGTCTCTCAACTTGTGCAATCAGTTTTTTAAAGTTTGATCAAAAGTGTGGTTTGATACTTTGTTTCTGCGTCTTGCAGGTTTGATTACCCGCAACCTACATTCAGGAAGCTAATGAAAGAAAACTGCATGGAGCCATTTTTTGTATTTCAGGTGTTTGTCAACTTGTTAATGCAATGTACCTTAAGAGTTCTTAGATATTTTCACGGCTATTGTTGATCTAAAGTAGTTTGTTTCTTCCTTTCCTTTTGCAGGTTTTCAGTGTAGGTCTTTGGTGCTTGGATAGCTTCTGGTATTACAGTGTCTTCACAAAATTCATGCTTTTGGTTTTAGAGTCAACAATGTCAAAAGGCCGCTTGAAGATGTTAACCGAACTAAGACGAGTTAGGGTGAACAGTCAGGCTGTGATTGCGTATCGATGCAAGAGGTGGGTGAGGCTCTTAGGTACAGATCTGCTGCCAGGAGATGTTGTGTCCATTGGGAGACCTTTGACTCAGACCGGAGGAGAGGATAAGACTGTACCTGCGGACATGCTTTTACTGGCGGGAAGTGCTATTGTAAATGAAGCCATTTTGACAGGTGATTCAACTCCCCAATGGAAGGTCCCAGTTGCTGGCCAAGGATCTGATAAAAAACTATCAATCAAAAGAGATAAAAACCATGTTTTATTCTGAGGGACCAAGATCTTGCAACATTCACCTGACAGGTCATTCCCTCTGAAACCCCCTGTTGGTGGCTGTGTAGCTGTTGTTCTCCGAACTGGATTCGAGACAAGCCAAGGAAAGCTAATGAGGACAATCTTGTTTTTCCACGGAGAGGGTTACAGCAAACACCTGGGAGAGTGGTCTCTTCATACTATTTCTAGTTGTTTTCGCCGTGATAGCTGCGGGTTATGTTCTTGTAAAAGGTCTCGAGGATCCTACAAGGAGCAAATATAAGCTCTTACTAGGCTGTACAGTTATCATCACCTCAGTGATCCCGCCTGAATTCCCTATGGAGTTATCCGTTGCTGTCAATACGTCGTTAGTTGCTTTGTCACGTCTTGGGATATTTTGCACAGAGCCTTTTAGGATCCCTTATGCCGGGAAGGTTGATCTGTGTTGTTTTGACAAGACCGGTACACTCACGTCAGATGACATAGAGTTCCGAGGAGTTGCGGGCTTATATGATTCTGAAGAAGCAGAGACTGATATGAGCAAGGTTCCTTTACGCACACTAGAGATTTTGGCTTCATGTCATGCGTTGGTGTTTGTAGACAACAAGCTGGTTGGTGATCCTCTTGAGAAGGCTGCACTTAAAGGGATTGACTGGAGTTACAAATCTGATGAAAAGGCCTTGCCTAGAAGAGAAAATGGCAACTCGGTGCAGATTATGCAGAGATACCATTTTGCTTCGCATCTGAAGAGAATGTCAGTTATCGTTTGTATTCAGCAGGAATATTTTGTGTTTGCCAAGGGTGCACCAGATACCATCCAAGATAGGCTTGTGGATGTGCCAGCAAGCATCATACATTGAAACATATAAGAGATACACACGCCAAGGATCTCGAGTCCTGGCCCTTGCGTTTAAACGACTTCCTGATATGATGGCCAGTGAAGCTAGAGACATGGAAAGAGATGCTGTTGAGAGTGACCTTACTTTTGCTGGTTTTGCTGTCTTTAACTGCCCCATTAGATCAGATTCAGCCACCGTTCTCTTGGAGTTGAAGAACTCATCTCATGATTTGGTGATGATTACAGGTGATCAAGCTTTGACAGCTTGTCATGTTGCAAGCCAAGTGCATATTGTATCAAACCCGGTTTTGATTCTTGGTCAATCAAGGACTGGTGACGAATACGAGTGGGTGTCACCTGATGAGAAGGAGATCGTACCATACAGTGACAAAGAGATCGAATCCCTTGCAGAGACACATGATTTATGCATTGGAGGTGATAGCTTTGAAATGCTACAGGCTACATCTGCTGTTTTACGAGTCATTCCGTTTGTTAAGGTCTTTGCGAGAGTTGCTCCACAGCAGAAGGAGCTAATACTAACCACCTTCAAAGCGGTAGGAAGGGAAACTCTGATGTGTGGAGACGGGACAAATGATGCCGGAGCATTGAAGCAGGCTCATGTTGGAGTGGCCTTACTGAATGCTACACCTCCCTTCTCGCAAGTGCCAATAGAACCAGTAAGTAAAACCGCAATTCAGAATGGGGAAGGATCATCAAAGAGGATTATCACACCCCAAAACCGCCAGTTTACTGCTGCGGAATTGCAGAGACAAAGGTTAAAGAAGATGATGGATAAACTAAACAATGGCGATGGTGATGGCCGGTCAGCTCCCTTAGTCAAACTTGGGGATGCATCAATGGCATCTCCCTTCACAGCTAAACATGCGTCGGTTGCCCCAGTGACAGACATAATCCGACAGGGTCGTAGTACACTTGTGACGACTCTTCAGATGTTCAAAGTTCTCGGTCTGAACTGTCTTGCCACAGCTTATGTCCTAAGTGTTATGCACTTGGACGTGTGAAGCTCGGGGATGTCCAGGCTACAATCAGCGGAGTATTTGCATCTGCGTTTTTCCTCTTCCTTTCTCATGCTCGACCGCTTCAAACCCTCTCTGCAGAGCGACCTCACCCGAGTATCTTTTCCTTGTACCTCTTTCTCTCTCTGCTTGGTCAGTTTGCTGTTAACATAACCTTCTTGATCTACTCTGTGAAGGAAGCTGAGAAACACATGCCCGAGGAATGCATCGAGCCAGATACAACATTCGATCCTAACCTGGTGAACACGGTGTCGTACATGGTGAGAATGATGCTTCAGGTTGCAACTTTTGCTGTGAACTATACGGGACATCCCTTTAACCAGAGTATCAGGGAAAACAAACCGTTGTTCTACGCGCTCATTGCTGGAGCAGGGTTCTTCACCGTCATTGCCTCTGATATGTTCAGGGACCTGAACGATTCGCTAAAGCTGGTTCCTTTACCTAAAGGTATGAGGGATAAGTTTCTCCTCTGGGCTTTGCTCATGTTCATCATCTGCTACTCGTGGGAGCGGTTGCTCAGGTGGGGTTTTGCCGGTAAGATTCCTTCCTGGAAGCACAAGCAAAGAAGTATCACTGCAAATCTAGAGAAGAAGAAGATGCTATAGGAAGAGCCAAACAGGTTAGGTTCAGTTAATAATCATTATTCCATACATTTTTAACTCGAAAGATGGATGTTCGGTTTTAAGATCTTGTTTGTGGAAGCTTCAAAGACACGAGCATTTTTCATAGGTCTCTCTAGTTAGGCATTTTGTTTCAGCTTCACAGTTAACTTTATAATCTTCTTCATAATTCTTAACTTTTTCTTTGTTAATCTCTAAGAAGAAGCAGACGTTATCATGTCCTCGTACTAAATTGAAGTGTTTACATTATTACTCTCTACAATTGTTTCTTTGCTTATTGGTTCCACATCCTTTCTTTTCAATAAATGAACACACAAACATCTGAAACTGTTTTCAATGTTTTTAGATAATTTGTTTCATTGAAGTTTTACAAGTTTTCGTTAACGATATATATGGGATATGGCTGTGCATACATGTGTGAATAATGTTCTAAACCGGAAAAATGTTCAAACTTCAAAACTAAAAACAAAACTTCTACAAATGCATCCGAATTACAGTTAAAATTCATATATTTAAAATAAAGACATAGCAGGGATCCGACCCATAAACAGCTTCAATCTCTTTGGTCAGGTAATTGCTTCTAACTTTTCTTTCTTCTGGCAGATTGTTATCAGAGGAGTCTAGCAGTTAGGAATGGTGTAGAGAGATGGTAGAGTAGATGTCTGAAGTAGACTGCTAGTGTTAGCACATTGAACATCATAGCTTGAAAACATATCTGAAAGGTCTTGAGAAAAGCTAGTGTTACCGACCATAGAACCATATGGGTCCTGAAAATCAGAACAGACCGCATCTGAAACTGTGCTTGAGAGACAAGGATCTTGAACATTGCTGTTGGTGATATCATTCATACACATGTTCTGATCATAACTATGAAGCTCTTTCGGCATCAACTGATTCAACCCGTAGTTATTTGCAAATTCTTGTGACGCCGATGAGTAATCTTGTGTGTTTGAGACGAAAGGATGCTGAAAGTAGTTGCCTTTGGTAATATCACTCATACACATGTTCTGATCATATCCATTAAGCTCATGCTGCATCAATTGATTCAACCCGTAGATACTCACAGATTCTTGTACTGTAGAGTAATCGTGTGTGTTGGAGACGCAAGGATGTTGAAAGTTGTTACCCATAAACATATTCTGATCACAACCATAAAGCTCTTGATTCATCGAGTAATCACCTGTGTAATTGGTGAATTGAGTGGGAACAGAGTGGTTGAAAGTTGATGCAGAGAGTGGGATTTGAGAGAGTAGAGCATCTTCATGGTTATATATAACTAGCGAGAACTTGCTAGGGTTTAAGGATTGGGTCTGATGATGATCCTGATGGTTCAGAGACATTGGACGGCTTAAACCCTTGTGATCCTCCAAGTTCGTCTTTTTCTGGTTCTGTGTCTCGAGAAAACGAAGCCTTTCTTGCAATTTAGAGTAACTTAGTTCCAAGGACTGAATCAGTTGGGAGATTTGGTCGGGAGAATAATGATCAGAGATTGGATACTTTAATTCATCCCTCTTCGTCTTCTTCGTCAAATTCGTCATCTTCGTCTTGTTCTTCTCGAGGAACCCATAAAGATCGACGCTTTTCTTGCGTCTCTTGGCTTCGTCTAACTGACTAAACCTTCCAGCAATGTCTCTCACTTTCTGTCTATCCTCAGGCCATGTCTTCAATTCGCCGTCTGGTCCGTAATGGATGACGCAGACTTCGACATCACAGAGAGTGGAAAGCTCGTAAGCTTTCTTAAAGATGGTCTCGAGTCTGTTGGTCATACTTGTTGCGGCGAGTGAATTAGAAGTAGAAGAAGAAGACGAACTGGAACAAGAGAAAGAAGGAGATGATCGCATGGTGATTCTCTTGGAAAAATAATCCGAAACACACACACTGGTTTTCGTTTTTCTCGCTCTCGCACACGAAGAAGAAGCAGAAGAATGAAATTGAGAGAGAAACTGTGGTTGGATATGTATTTATAGAGATTAGAGACTCTGTGATAGAGATGAAAATACACGTTGATGGACCCCAACGGTAAAAAAAAACGCGTATGATTCGATTTCCATTTTCGCTTACTTTTAATTTCCTTAATATCACTATATCGAGCCGTTGATGATTGTTAGAAAAAGGAAAAATTTACTTAAAAAATTTCCATATTTTAACACTCTTCATTTATGAGAGTAGTTAATGACAGGGTAATGTGATGTGTAATTACGTTCGACATGATTTGATTTTTTTTTTTTTAATACATTTTCTCTGGCTAACTAAAAGTCTACAACAAATACTCGGGCTTGCAGATTTTTTTTTTTTTTTTTTTTAAAAACTCACTCGGGCTTGGTTCGCAGTACCGGCCTTATTCAGAAAATAACTGGAAGATTAATCGGTATAAGATAAAAAAAATCGGTATAAGACAAACCGGAGAATTTGAAGAAAAAAAGTATAGAGTTCGAGAACCCTAAATTCTTACCAGACGGCGGCGAAAGCTAAGCTTCGTGTTATCGAGGCAAAGCTCAGTTTGTGATTCATCGTCTCTAACCTTAAATTACAGTTTTCGTTTTTCTCATTAACCGATTATTGGATCTGTTAATGTCGACGAAAGATTTGATCAGTTCATTACCAGATGAGATACTTGCTCAGGTCTTAGTCGTGTCTTCCTACTAAACAAGCTGCTTCGACCTCGATCCTCTCCAAAAGATGGAGGAATCTATTTCAAGTCATGAATCTTCTCTTCGCGTCTTTCTATTTCGACGACTCTGATGATGATGTCCATGAAAAGGATAGCTTCAGACATTTCGTGGATAACACGCTTTCTAACTGTCGCAAGCCCTATTTTGACATCATTAAACCTCTGGTCTATATAGAACACTTGAACATCAAGAAACTCACGATTCGCTACAGTGACTATTTCTCTAGCAACCGCTATTTGGTATTAAACGCACCACGTCTCGTGTACTTCGACTACTCTGATTATCTAACTTATAATGACATAAACTGGGAGTATATTAAATCGACATACTGTCTTCAATGACCTATTAGAAGCCCGCCTTGACTTTGCTTTCTCTCCTAGAGGGAGATACGGCAGTGAACAAAAAAACTGCTCAAAACTCTTGAATTTTATCTGCAAGGTTCACATTCTTTACATCTCTGGTAATCAGAGACGTGCTTACCATGTAATGAAAAAGGCTTTCGTCTCAAGCCCCCAATATATGTAAATTTTTTAGGACCTCCATTTTCTTAAGAAGTAGTTAAGTGGTTTAAAGTTGGTGTGAGTTTTTTTTTACATATGATGTTTTTTTATTTTTGTTTATAAAACGAAAAAAAAATAAATAAATTTAAAATTGAATGGCCTAGCTATCATATCTATAGAAAGAGAACTAATTAGGAACTTCGATTATTTTATTGAAAAAGAAGGAAAAAAAATTATGTTTTAATTAGTTTTTTTAGATTAAGATTTTATTTTTGAATATTTTATATGATTTTAAATTATATTATATTTTTTTGTTAAAAATCTCTATTTTTTTTAAACGAAAAAAGCCCCATTTTTTAAGTTTTCCTTAAGCCCTTATAAACCTTCGTACACACTGCTTGTAATACTGCTGAGGTATTATGTCTCTCTCAATCTCTTTCTTTTCCTTTTTTTTTTGTTCTTGGTCTTGTTTACTGATGTGTGGATGTGTTGCAGGTGATGCATGATTGCCTTGATCATGATGGGTTTCCTTTCTTGAAGAACCTGACTACTTTACATTTCGAGAGTAGTAACAGGAAAAAATATTGGGAATTGCTGTCTAATATGATAGAAAAATCTCCAAAGCTAGAAGCTCTGCTTCTTAAGGTATATATGATTTTTCCCATTTAGAATGGAACTTTTGTCTGAGAATCCGCATGTATCAATCTATAAGTTTTGTTATATGGTTTTATATTCTAGGGTTTGTGCGGTATAAGCAACTGTGAGATTGTTAAGATTGGTGGAAATGTGGTGAAGGTTGTTGAGATTCAAGACTATGAAGGAAGACTTGAAGAGTTGAACCAAGTCAAGTGCTTCTTGTGGGAAATGGAAAATCTTGAAGAGATGAAAGTGAAGATGAGTGATATGATCTTCTTGCTCTTCTTGCTCTTCCTGAACGTTTGTCCAAATGCAGCATCCATGTCTTGTGATGGTCGTGTGCTTGAAAATACCAGTTTCGATTTGGTGATATGTTATGGACTAAAGCTGTGAAAAATATCAGAAATATAAGGATTGGCTTTTAGTTATGTAGTTGTGAATGATGATTGAGCTTGATTCAGTATTGTTTTAATATAGATCAAATTCTTACAGCAAGATGTTTCTAGAGCTGTTAAATAGGCTTCAAATTCTATTATCTGTAAGAAAGAAGTGTGTTGGTGATTACAGATTACAAAGCTTAATTAAACTCTACATAGACATCTTGGTTGTTGGTTACCTGAAAGGAAACTTCTTCTTAATTGAGACAACATCTTGGTTTTGGCTGTAACCTAAGGTCTAAAGAGAATTGCAGAAGATTGGGCTGTTTTGGGTTTGCTTTAAGAAGATTTTCTTTGAATTGGGTCGAGACCAAACAACTAGATGAGAGACGGTGTTGATTGCTTTTTTTTTTTTTTAACCACCGTGTTGCTCTTTTGAGTTTTCTCAATGTTTCTCAATTATACAAACAAGTGAATAGTTAGAGTTTTAGAGATTGTTTCTCCTGATTGTTAAGAGCTGATTCATGTACAGAAAAATTGAAAGAAGGGTGTGTTCTTTTTTTTCTTTGTGTTGATTATGCGTAGCGAAAACAAAATCATAATAGATCAGATTGGTTTCTAGATATATATGGCTGTGCATGATAATTGAACTTGATTCCTTGAGCTGAATATAGATAGACCAAAACAATATTGCACCAAATTCTTACAACAACATGTTCATATTCATAATAAGTCCTCAAAAATGCATCTCCTTTTTGAGGTTGCACTCATATTCAAATATAAAAAGTTAAAAAAATGCAAGAACTTTCTAATCCGCTACTTCACCATTTTTAGTTTTTTTATATACAAAACAATCACATAACATATAATCATATTAACTATTTTATAAAATTTGTCTATTTATTGTTATATATAGGGATCTAAAGATGAACATACAGTAAAAATTTTATAAATTATTATTCAATAAATTAATAAATATTATAAATTAATATTATTTTATGATTTTGAATTGAACCGGTTCAAAATATATCACATCCAATAAGATAATAATTTTGACAAAACTCTTATATAAATATATGGTTCCATTAATATTATAAATTAATAATTACCATAAACAACATCTGATATAAACATTTAACTGAGATAATCTACTAAAATATAAGTTTATTAATATTTTTTATTTATTTTAAATTAAAGTTTTTGTGAAACTCATTTTTAATTTTAGAAAGAATTTTTTTAAAGATTATTTTTTAAAAAATATCTTTTAAGATTTATAAGAAATAATTAATATTTTTATCTAAAAATTATTAAATTAATAACTCTATAAATTAATAAAATATCAAAATTCTAACAAATAATTTATAGAGTTTTTACCGTAGTATTTTTATATTAGAATTTATAAGTATTTTATTGACTGAAAAAAAGATTGAAAATCTAAAGATGGACATAGTATATAAAGTTTTCCAAAAAAAAAAAACATAGTATAGAAATAACGGTCACTACTAAATAAAGAAGACATGACGAAAGGGAAAAGCAAAGAGTGATTGACAACTGACTGTATTGGTTTTTTTAATTGGTTTTTTTTTTTTAAGGTCAACTGACTATTTTGTTTTTAGAAAATAGCAAAAGGAATATGTGATGTGGCAAGACCGCAGGGGTTACGAGGGCCACCAAAATCTAGGGAGAACGAGAGAAAAAGAGATCGAAGGACAGAAAATCATAAGCAATCAATGCATTTTTGAAAAAATAACGAAAAATCCTAACCACAATCGCGTGGGGTTTGAAATAGTAGATATAGTGGCGAAATATTTTATTTGTTTGAGTCCATAAATTAATTTGTTGATTTGCTAATTAAGGGTCAGAATATTGCTGTGCGTTGCAAATACTCAAAAGTAAATATATATAGACCAAAAAAACATGACAATCAAAGGGACCCCATTACCAAACGATCAAGAAGAGAAACTTAAAAATCAGTGTGGACTATGAAGCACGTACCCCCACCGACCCACTTATACTAGAGATCCTATACCTGTTGGATTTGCAAGTTTTGAGAAAATTGATTTCCTTAACATATTTAGAGGAACTGAGGAACATATTGGAGTAATTATTTGGATTAATTTAGATCTATACTAAATTTCAGAAAACTTGAAAGAAATTTGAGATTTGAGCAAAATTTTCAAAATTATTGTTACAAAATTTTAGGGTGATTTAAAGAAAGTTTAGGACATTTGAAAAACTGAAAATTTAAATAAATAATAAATAAAAATTCTTTGAACTTGATACATATGTCATTTATAAAGTTTTGTTTTTAATTATGTTTGCTGCACAATCTCCTTTCTTAGTAACTAAGAAGAAAGAAAATGAACCAAGTGACACAAAAGAGGTAAACTTGAGCATGTGCCAATAGAGAAGTTTATTCACTGAATTTCCAATAAGAAAAAGAAATTGATATATAATGATCGATAGAAAAAGAGAAGTATATGATTATCGTCCATTGACAGCGATGAAGTCATATTTAGTTGGCATATTTGAAGCGATACACTGTGGCATATATGTCTTCCATCATATGAGGTGGTATACATTTATGTTCCAAATCATTCCAAATTTATTTCCAATTTATTTTATTAATGAACTCACTAATTTTCAACAAGGAAATTAAAAGAATTTGTACAAATGACTAATCCAATAACTTTGGATTTAATTTGAATAACTTTTGTGAATACTAGATCCAATACAGGGAGATTTGGGAAGAAGTTCACATCATCCCAAATCATTGATTCAACTTGCCCTAGTGTTCTTTTGAAAATAATATTTGATTTTGGTTTTTGAATGTTTCTTGATTATATGAAGAAAGAAAGAACAAAAAGAAGAGCAACGAAAAAGATTCTGTGACACGTAAGAAAGCATGATTACCTTATACTTTAATACACACACCGTAAAAACACGATGCGTAAATTAAACAAATTTTCCTTTCATTTCAGTGTATACATATTTTCTTATATGTTTATTTTTTGTCAACGGTAGACGATTTATATATATATATATATATATGTCTATCTATCTATAATTCTTTGTAAATACGGAGTAAGAACAAAGCAGACATGCATTACATTTCACATTCACTTACTCGTCCCCAACACTTTTTTTTTTTTTTGTTCGTTTTGCTACTTAAACCTTTAGCAAGTCCTCTTATTCTTGGTGAGAGTCATCCAAAATCAGCAAACAAGAGCAACCCGACTCCTCAACTTCCCGTGAATGATGTGATGCTCAGTTGCTGGGCCACTCAACTTTACCTAGTACGAGTCAGAGCAATCAGTCATCTTCGTCTCAGACCCAGCCAGGACAGCACACTTACCCGATTCTTCCCAATCCGGTGATGGTTTCTCCGTCTCCAGATCACGAAATCCAAACATGTAACACGACTCCTTTGTCTCAGCCGCTAGAGCACCCTCCTCCACCTGGTCAGAGTAACCCGATCCCTCCATCTCCGGCGAGGGTTATTCCGTCTCCAGATCATGCAATCCAACCACAACAACAATGTAACCCGATTCCTTTGTCTCAGTCGCTAGGCTACTCACCTCTACCGGGTCAGAGCACCTCGATTCCACGGTACCAGAGAACTTCGCCGTCAGCCCCAAGTCAGGGAAGACGGGTTGTTCAGTCGCCGGACCCGTCTCCACCATTGTCTCCTCCCATTAGGATTCCATGGTATCGGGGGAACGAGTTTGTGACAATGGAACCAGCATCACCACACGGTCCACTTCCACATGAGTTCCACATGATGGACAATCTAAGCTTTTGCGTCCTAAACTATTTCTTTGCTTCTGGACTAAGCCACACATCTTCGTGGTCTCAACGACCAAACCTAAGTACCAGCATCCATATCCAATGCTTCCTTAACCAAACGGCTTTCTCTCTCTTCCTCTTGGCCAACGCGCTGTTTGCCCGAACACGTCCAGTTCTAGCTTTCGTTTTAGACCGTGTCTCCTTCTTACTTATTGTTGTCTCAGCTTATTTAGCTTCTATGCCCATGTTTCCTCCTTATGTTTATGTTTCTTGTTGTAGTTATTGTCTACATATTTTCTCGTTTCAGGGGTTAAAGACTGCATTTCTTACCCTAATTACACAAAGAAAACTATAACCATATATAGTGGTTTCTTTTTTAATAAACATTCCAGTTTCTGTTTCTAATTATATCTTGCCGATAGTGATACTGTTTGATTTAGAACATATCCTATAAAAGTATTTATTTATAAAATAAGTTAGCATGCTCCATAAAATGATCATTAACTAGCGTCAACCATTGAGGTACAACCAGAAAGAGTCCACCAAAAAGGTTTTTTCATACTTCAGTTATTTTAATATATAACTAATATTATAATCTGTTATTCGTGAATTCTCTTACCAAGGAAACAAATAGTTTACTTTTCGTTAATCTGAGTCATGGCTTTTAATAAGTCTGGTCTAGATCTTTAGTCCATCAGCCGCAGGTCAATTTGAAGGCCAATGAGATTATTAAAAAAAAAAAATTTAAGAAAATAGTTTGTAGAGGTCTTTTTTAAGAATTGATCTTCAGACTTCAGATATGATTTGGCTATAAAGTTTTCCATTGCCCTCTTTGTCCAATAATATTCAAGTTCCATTTAAACCATTGTGTCTGCTCATTGTCACAGTTACGTACGTGTCTTTCTTTTTATTTTCTGTTTGGTCTTTTCACATTTTACATTTTCTTTCCTCTCATTAAATTACCCAGTGTTAATTGCACCATTCTTCTGAGCTATATACTCTTAAAAATTGTGTTGGTAGATTTAGAGGCTTTTCTATTATTAGCGTTCATTTCAAAAGACATGTCAACAATAGTAGAAAAGTAATATTTTCTTCTGTTAACACTTCGATAAAATATGGTAAACCCATAAAAGGAAAATATGCTTCTTCTCATAAAATTCATAATCTGAAAGGATAAAGAACTTTCAAACTATCATAGGTATCATAGATGAAAGTGAAGAACAGTGATGAGATAGATAACAAATTGCAACTCACAAATGATCTTATTGCTCTTCCCAAACGTTCATCGGAATGCAACCTCCTTGTTTTGTGACGATCGGGTGCTTGATATAATACAATTTTGATTTGGTGGAATTACTATCTTAAATTGTTTTGTTGCAAATCTTTATTTTGTCTGTGTCGTATCTAGCCAATACTACTCTACTGTAATATATCCACAAATCATAAAACCTAGTGTAATGAAAATTTATATGAAAAGTATATTTAATATTAGAAGTTTTATTTATAAATACATTAAATGTACTGTACCTATGGTAGCATTTGAAACAACTATTATCACAAAAGATATCAGATCATGCATTTTGACCCATCTTTAAATTTCTATAGGTTGATGTCATTATCGAACTCTCACAAAATTCTGGCTAAAGCCGTAAAGGTCAAATCAAACATCTGTCATGCACAGGAACCGACTTACCTTAAACACGAATTCTAAGAAAAAAAAGGATCAGAAAAGATCTTATAAATCCGTTCCGGTTCCCCAATTTATAAAAAGGGAAAAGACCCAATAATCTTCCCGTTCTATCAGAGAATATAATGATACAAAAGAGAGAGAGAGATATCAAATAGGGTCGTGTTTTTTGAAAAACAAACGTAAGTAAAGGTTGGGGACATAAGATGTGAGGATGTGAGTCTACAAGAAAGTGAAATGTACATTTAGGGTTTAGTAAAATGTACGTTATGCGAACCGAATTAACTGATTCCCAAACACGAATAAACCGATCCTTCGCCCTATTTTATAAAAAGAGAAAAGGAAGACTCAGAAAACCTTCACTTTTATTCCATTTTGGCATAGCTAATCGTCCCCAAACTTTCCTCAAACATGATTGTTCTGTTTATGTTTTTGGTAATTAAAGACTTTATGTCTCATAGATTCTTGCGAGTGACCCGGACAATGATCCGTTAGATGGTTAGAGAAATTGACACGAGGACGAAGTTTAGTCTCTAGCTAAGGGTATATATAAATTATACACGTATAGGGCGAGGGACAATATCGACTATATATAAAAATTATTCACATATTGGCAGGAGTATTACATACTTAGTTTACTTACCCCTAAACCCTTTACTTTCTCGTTGGCCCACATCTCTTCACAGTCTGTATTTGGTATATCTTTCTTCAGAAAAAAAAAATCAATATTGAAGTGTGAACAAGACCGTGTGGACTGAATAGCATAAGAAAAGTGTAGGATATGGCATGTGGGTGACAAGAAAATGAAATCTGCTTTGGTGGGTGGCGCATGGATTTAACATTTAACCTCACCGAATAAACTCGATTCCCAAACCAAACCAAACCAAAATTTTGTTGACGTTTTATTCAGCAGATTTTTCCAAACCGAACTATTCGAAGAACCAAACCGAGACTTACTACAGTACATCCTTTCATCTTTGCTGGTGGACTAAGCTACACATCTTCGTGGTATGAACGACCAAACCTTAGTACAAGCATCCAAATCCAATGCTTCCTTAATCAGGCGGCTTTCTCTCTTTTCCTCTTGGCCAACGCGGTGTTTCCCCAAACACGTCCAGCTCTGGCTTTCCTTTTAGATCGTCTCGCCTCTCGTTTTTACTTATTGTTATCTCAGCTTATTTAATAGCTTCTATGCTCATGTCTCCTCCTCATGTTGCTATCATTATGTTTCCTCTTGTAGTTATTGTCTACATATATGTTCGTTTCAGGGGTTAACACACTTGACATTACTCTAATTACGCAGAAACTATAGTAAAAAAGGGGTTTCTCCTAACATCTCTTGGCCAAGTGATACTGTTTAGTATATAAATTATAACAAGTGCTATATAAAGTTTAGAATAGTATACTCTATCATATTAATTATCACTAAACGACGTCAACATTTAAGGTCGTACGTTAAGCCTTATTAGGGACTTATGTTCATGCACTAATTACAAATCAACAACCAAAAGGTACTCCATTACTATACTTCATTTATTTTTTTAATGTAATAATCAATAGTATACTGTCTGTACACTCTTGAATTTTGTTCATCAAGGAAACAAAAATTTGATATATAGGGACAAAGAAAGAGAATAATTTAGTTATCTTTTTACCATATCCATGTTTAAATTTTGTAGTCATATGTCTAATTTAGAGCTTTTTGCTCTTTTTAAAAAAAAAAAATTATCAAACAGTGTAATTGATGCAATACTATATGTCAATTGATTTCGATTTAGATTGAAACGTTCAGAAAGAAAATATGAAACGTAAGGAATTTCGTATATTCTTAAGTCTGGTGTGGTTTGATTTATTTAACTTTGCTAAGGCTAAGTTTACGTTGTTTTGGCAATGGATCTTGTCTAACTAAAACCAACTTTTATTTTAATCCCCTCTGCTTATTTGCACCACAACGTATTTTATAATATGATCAACGGTCCATAAAAGGGGAAATGGCTCGCATGCCATTATTTGTGTGCGTGACATTCTAAATTGCCATTTGATAATCACAATGCCACTAATTTGGGAAAAATACCATTGTAACTTTAATGAAAGAGACCCACATACTACCTAATATTAGGGATAAATATCGATTTTGTAACAATATTTTTCGAAAATCAAAAAAAATTGTTGCACGCCGGAATCTGGGCTCGGGAAATCGATTTTGTGGCCAGAAAAAGAAAACTTGATCCTCTTTGTTTTATTGTCCGCTGTCGTCGTTCTTCGCCGCGGGTAACACGCTGCATTTAAAAGCACAGACATCTCCTCCCGTGCAGCTCGTCGTCGTCGGAGATCCTCCCCTCTATCAGCTCCAATTAGCTCATCTTCATTCTCCGATTAGGTATGGTATATCTTTCATTAGGGGAAATGCATGTTGAGGTATGTACATTGGGTCGATTAGGTAGATTGATTGTTGATTAGACGTCCAAATTGAGCTAGAGTAGACGTCGCAATATGTAGCGAAATAGGGGAAAAATCTACAAATTTAGGACAATTGGTATAAATTAGTACAACTAATAAAGTGTGGACGACTGGTACACAAAAGTACGAATATGAGGGTTTAGAACTACTAGTACACAATGGTACAGATCTGAGTTAGAGTACAACTGACACTCAATGGTACAACTGTGACAAATTAGGTAATAATTAAACGCGTATTTTGGTTTCCTATACACAGGAAGGGTGGGGCAGAATGAGTCCGGCCGTGAACATACACTTTGATTATGGAGGGAAGTATACAGAAGTCGGAGAGGTGTTTAAATGGATTGCAGGAAGTTCCACGTTTGCAATATCTTTGAAATACCGTGCAATGGAGGAGATTACTTACTCGGTTTTAGTAGAGACGATATGCAGGTAGATGGCAATAGATGAAAGAACAGCGGAACTGAAACTGAGCTACATTCCATTGGTATTTAACCCTCAGAGCCAGTCATATATTTATGATGATGAGGATGTTTATGTGTATCTAACAACAGTGGACGAAAAGGGATTTAGATCTGTTTTGCATGTGGAAGTAATGAAAGATGTGGAAGTAACTCAAATGGAGCCGCAACTGTCTCCGCAACTGTCTAGAGCTGGTCAAGGTAGCTCAGTTGGTTTGAACAAAGGGGAGCTTGGTTCAAATGTCAGTGCTGATGCGGGGATCCTAACTATCTACAGAGCAGAGGGACCAGCAAAGCAACACAATGAGCCAATAATTGAAGAGCCGATGGAGGATGATGTTGATGAAGGAATGCATAAAGAATCTGGGGATGATGGTAACGCAAGTGACAAAATTTTGGCATTGAATGATGACGTATCAGGAGGTGATCGCATGGAGGAGCCTCACTATTATGAGCCACCATGTGCTGATGAAGAAAGTCAGTTAGTTGCTGAATGGAAAGATGGTGCGGGTCCTGTAGTTGGTCAAGAGTTTAGTTCTAAAGCGACAGTGCAACATATGATTGAGAGAGCTGCACATAAATACTGTTTTTCGTTCAATACTATCATGTCGAATAAAAACAGACTTATGCTAGAATGCCATCAGAAGAAACAAGGTTGTAAGTGTTATCTTTGAGCTGCGAGCGTTAAGGATTCAAGCCGTTTTAGTGTCAGGGTGTATAGAAAGATGCACAGATGTTCACGTGCTGCGCAGAGTACAAGCAGCAATAAATTGAAAGGTACACCAGAAATGGTAGCATCGGTTCTGCATGATGTCTATCCAGGTCGGCTCGACACCCCAGTTGCTAAAAGTAACATCAATGTTGTTCAAGGGCGTATTGGTATGAATGTATCCTATTCCACTGCCCTGAGGGGGAAGAAACTCGCATTTAATTATGTACGAGGCAGTCCAGAAGATAGCTATGGTATGTTGTATCCTTATTTGCACATGTTGGAGAAGGTAAATCTTGGAACGGTAACAAGTGTGGAATTGACTGCAGAGAAGAAGTTCAAATACTTATTCATTGCTTTAGGTGCTTGTGTTGAAGGTTTTAGAACAATGAGGAAAGTGTTAGTAATGGACGCAACTTTTCTCTCGGGTTCCTATGGTGGTATGTTAGTGTTTGCGACAGCTCAAGACCCTAATCGGCACAATTACCCGGTCGCGTTTGATGTGATTGATGGCGAGAATAATCATAGCTGGCGGTGGTTTTTCGAAAAGTTAAAAACTGTAGTTCCAGATGATCATGAGTTAGTCTTTATGAGTGATAGACATCAAAGCATCATCAAGGCAGTCTCCGAGGTGTATCCGAGTGCTCATCATGAATATTGTATTTGGCATATTTCACAGAATGTGAGAGATAGAGTTAGTAATGTCAATAAAGACTTTGTTGCACAGAAATTCCGGGATTGCACACATATCTATACTCAATCTGAGTTCATTAGAGAGTATGGTGATTTTAGAGTTAGGTTTCCTAAAGCCGTTGAGTATCTTGATAATAGTGTGACGCTGGAAAAATGGGCTAGGTGCTGCTTCTTCGGAGATAAGTACAACATAGAGACCAGTAACTCGGCAGAGTCTATGAATAGTTGTTTAGTGACTGCGAGGAAGTACGCCTTATTGCATATGATCGATGCGATTGTAGCCAAAGTTTCTGAATGGTTTAACATATACAGGAAGGATTCAGCTGGTCCTTTTTATAATAAGAGAGTGTTGCCTGTTGTGGAGAATGAAATACACAGTCGATGTGCAATCACGTCTCTTTTAGTGGTGACGGAACTAAACAGCTACGAGCTTGAATACAGCGTTAATGGACTGGACGGGAAAACTTACGTGGTGAACTTGATAGCGAAAAGCTGTTGCTGTAGGCGGTTTGATATAGATAAGTTCCCGTGTGAACATGCAATAGCCGCAGCGAAGAAACTGATGAGCACGGAAGATAGATCAGCGAGTATCGGAGTATATGACTTGTGCTAAAAATATTACTTGATTGAGACGTGGGCATTGGCATACTATCGAACAATTTATCCTGTTCCTCATCATACTGACTGGAGTGTTCCTGACAACATCAAAGAGTTGGTCGTCTTACCACCAGATGTCAAGAAAAAAGTGGGTAGAAATCAAGAAAAGCGGAAACCAGGGCCCGGAAAACGTCGCCGGAGGACAAGGAACAAGGCGGACCCTCACTTGGACTTGGAGGCTTGTTTCCGGTCTTCTCAACATCCCCAGGCAGAAGGTCCTTCAACTTAGTTTTTGAGTTTTGTAATGTTTTGTGTTTTTATTTGGACAACCAGGTCGACTATGGACAACTATTGTTATTTGTATTGGAGTTTTGTAATGTGCTGTTTTTATGTGGACAACCAGATCGACTACGGACAACTGTTGAGTTCTTTGGGTTTATTTGCTTCGTGTTAGTGTTTGCTTTGTGTTTTTATGTGGACAACAAGGTCGACTACAGACAACTTTTGTTATTTGTGTTTGCAAGGTACAACTGGGTCCTTGTGGTTCAACTACTAGCAATATCATTAAATTTGATATCCTAAATATTTGATAATATATATCATTAATTTGAAGCAGTTGGAGACTTTTTATAACTCTAAACTCATAATAAAGTAAAAGAAAACGAATCAAACTAAAAACAAAAATTCCCTTATACATTTTCTTTTTTTCTCATCAAACAATATCATCTAGTTTAAGGATGAGTTTGGTAAATGTAAGTTTCTCATCATGAATAAAAACTTTGGAAATGATTATGCAAAAAAAAATAGCATCTACGCCTTGTAAATGACCACTAATACTCAAACATGTCGGGGACAACTACAAAATAGTAGGGTATGCAATGGTACAACAACAAAAAACAAAAACTCGTCAAAGTACACTTATGCGGAAATTAGTACACTAGGAACAATTTTTGGACAACTATATCATCGATTGACAGGGCACGTGTTTCATATCCAAGATCGACGGCGCACATGTTTCTTACACTAAGCAAATTTTTCAAAATTTTCAAAATTTAAATCCCCCCACCAAATTTTTTAAGTGAATTTAAATTTCACCAATTTCCCACACACTGTCTTTTATATTAGCTACATCCACATTTTCCCATTTTCCCATTTCCGAGACTTAACACAAGCAGAAGAGAGAAAACCGCAGAAAACCCATATCAAATTGGTGACGAACCGAGAAAAAAAAATAAGGAAAAGATGGGAAGCTCAAGCTCTTCGCGATTGGAAGACAAAGGTAATCTGATATGCGATTTTAATTCTTGATTTGGCATTTCAGTTTTCGGGATTCAAATTAGGGTTTACGATAATAATTGAAAATTTGGGGATTTCCTTAGAAATTAGGGTTTATGATTCTAATTGTGAATTGCAGAGATGGAGAAGGCACTTGCGAAGCTTGCGAAGAAGGATCACGGTATGACAACAAGATGGGGTCCGGAAGTCAATGGAGTCCGAACCATTGTTGAATGTCCTAAGCAAGTCGGAATTCCTCAATTTTGCTACTGCGGTCCTCCTCGTATTGCTCCGTGGCCGAACCTAACTGACTACTCTGCGCTAGACCGAGGCCGGAAGTACTACGGCTACTTTTACGGTTGCTGTGGACCGAAAAACTTCCCGGAAGTAAGATGTCGCTCTGCTTTATAATTTCACTAAACCATTACAAGTACAAAGCCGATGCTTTTCTGTCTTTCAGGTTCCAAGTTGTGGCTTCAAGAAGTGGTGGGATGTCGCTATAGAAGAGGAGATTGGTTTGCTAAAAGAAACTCAAGAGGACATAAAGTCTGTGTTTGATGTGATTGTCTCAAAGCTAAACCAGCTGGAATCGAAGATTGAGGCTCTACAGGAGGCCTTGAAGAACAAGGAGGCTTGAAGCTTTTTTCTGTTATATTTGGTGTCCTAGTTGTCCAACCTTTTATCCTGAACTTTGTTGTCCTAGTTGTCCTACCTTTTATCCTGAACTTTGTTGTCCTAATTGTCCTATCTTCTTGTTTGTTGTCCTAGTTATCTTATATTCCTCTATGTAAGACTTTTTCATCTTTCATTTGAACCTAGTTGTTCCATCTTTCTTATTTAGTAAACACTTCGTCTTAGTTGAACCATGTTGTCCCCGAAGTTACAATTTTAAAACGGTTGATGCAACTACAAACCAAACCATTCAAGCTTTTTTGCAAAAAAAGAAAACTAAAAGTCACAAAAACAATACTTTCAGAAGTTCCATTCAGGCACAAGATCCAAATCCAAAAAAAAAACAATCCCAAACATTCAGACAAGTACCAAGTCTTTACCAAGCAAGTTCTAAACTAAACCTTTTGTCTTTTTCGAGGCCCTTTTCACCACCTGATTCTTAACTTCTTCACCGGCAGCCTTCTTCTCTTTGTTTCTAGTTTGCTTCGAAGCCCGTGTTTCGACCTGGTTTGTCTCTTCTGCTTTTTTCCCTTCTTCCACGGCAACCTTTGAATTCTCACCTTTTCTCCGTCTTCTTGCTTCTGTAAATGGAGGTTTCTTCCACTGGGATGGTGCACCTTGCCTCTTCGGTCTTTGTGGTGGTGGTGAGGGCGGGGCTGTCGACGGCGCTGGTGTTGGTGAGATGGCTGCTGACGGCGCTGGTGTTGGTGTGATGGCTGCTGATTCTCGTTGAGGTGTAGGAACTCCTGTGGGTGAACGAACTCCTACAGCTGATGGTGCTGAGATGGCTGCTGACTCTGGTGGAGGTGTAGGAACTAGTGTGGGTGAACGAACTTCTACTGCTGATGGTGGTATCCTCGCTTCTGTTCCAGTGAACTCCATCTTCTCTTTCAAGTATTTCTCAACAGCTTTCAGCCTCTCCTCCATATCCTCTAACCTCTTCTCCAAATCCACTTCTGTTGTACCCTTATACGCTTCTGGCTCCGGTTCATGTTCCGGTTCCTGACCTCGACAATCAACCTCCAAGTCATACAATTGTTTCCAACATATTTTCTTCTTCTTGACGGTGAGGTACTCAGTCCAAGACTCAACAAATGGATCAACAAACCATATCCCTTCGTCGTATCCACGTTCCAATATGCGATCTATAAGCGCTTCTTCCTCAGAGTCAGGTTCCAAAATGCTAATAATTTCCTGTCATAAATAACCAAACCCTAGTTACTACTTCCAACCTAGATCAATCTAATAATATTGTTCATCAAATTATACTACTAACACTTACCTCGCTACTATTGCCTATCGCCTCATTAATGTCCTCCAAAGGAAACCCTCTCATGCATATCTCAGAAAACTTCCCCTTGCACATGCGTGGACAGTCTCCATTTGCAGGCACAACTTCTCGGCATCTCCGTCGAAGCTCAGGAATACATTCGAACGCCATAATCTACATAGAAAATCACAGTATCAACAACTCAATATCACAATACCAAATACCTGAAAACTCATTAATAACACATACCTCTAAAGGAACTATGAAACCCGCAAAGCTGTATGATTGTCCTTTCGCTTTCACGCTCCCTTTAAGCTTCCTCATCACACGCTGTATCTCCTTGATGCAATTATCATACGTGTAGCGCCCCCAAGGAAATTTCTTACACAGCCTTAGATCATTCACAAGTCGAAGCAAGAAGGACTCTATGCTACCATTAGCCTTAGAGTTGGCTTTGACAACTTTGCTTAAGAAAAAGAGTACTGCCATCTTTTTCTTATCTTCTGAGGTCTCCATTGCCTCAAGCCTCTCTTCCACATCCTTCACTGTTATTGCCTTCTTCCTTCCAAACTGTCTCTCAACAAAGCTCCAACCCCCCAAATCCTTATACTTTCTAGGGTACTCATGGCAGTCTAACCCACAGAGGAGCGCATGCTCTCTCAATGAGTAACGGATGGGAACACCGTTTACAACAAACTAGCACTCACTTTCCTTCCCGGTTTTAGCAGTATGGAGGAGGAGCATCCACAGACCTTGAGTCATGTGATTCGGCTCCTTGGGCATATGAAATATGTGCCTGAATTGAGGGTGTGTTTTAAACCATTTTGCCTCTTCTGGCATTGTCTCTATCTTCTGAACAACACCCGTTACAGAACACCTAGTTACTATCTTGCAAGCTTTGCCTAACTCGGTTGGGTTAAAGAAAAGCTTCTCAGGTTGCATCGGCAAGCTAGAGGAAATGGGATCCTACAATTTGAATACATTTACCATTAGTTGTCCCTGTTGTCCTAAATATTAATTGATCAAAATTACAGTTTTATTGTTCCTGTTGTACCGGTTGTCCTAAATACTAAACTACAGGATCAATCAAACAAGATCGGATGTCAATTCACACCAAAGAGTACATGAATACAGTACATACCTGGTCATCTTCTTCCCCATCGTTCATGTCCTCACCTACCTCTTCTGCCGCAATCCCATCTGTCGCTTCCTGTCCTTCATCATCTGCTTCCTCCTCTTCATCTTCCACTGCTTCCTCCTCTTCTTCATCATCTGCTTCCTCCTCGTCTTTTTCCTCTGCATCGTTTGAGATCGTATAAAAAAATTAAAAAAACAAATTATATTTAAACACAAAAATAAAATTTTGTTACTTATTAGGAATATTATATCAATAAAGAAAACATAGTTTATATTACAAATTTTGATTAAAAATAATTCCCGTGCGGATGCACGGGGTAAAATCTAGTGGACATATAGAACAGAAAAAAAAGGTATGCTCTAAACATATTATATGTAGTTTCCACAAAATTGCGAACCTTCACTCATTGTACCAATATTTAGCTCTTCTTCTAGTTTTCTAGTATACTACTACAATTTTCTATCCCTTTTTTTACTTTTTTTATACGATCTCAAACATTTAAACTGTTAGAGAAATCTATACTTAGAAGTTAGAATAAATAGACCAAAAAAATGAATTTTTTTTTTGAATAATTTATTAAAAACTTGAAATAGTAATCATTCTAAGACTATTAGACAGACAAGTAACAGATGAGTTTGTTTAAAGTTATTTTATCATGGTA